CACCAACCACCCACCTGCTCCTCATCCCGCATTTGGCCCTATTGAGGCTGTCTTGACACCGGGCATAATTTGGATAATAGAACAGAGGTTGAGGCAGATGCATCGCAAGTCGCCGTGCCTACGCCACCCCGTCGTTGAGCATAAGGCGGTCCTCGTCAAAATCACACCCGGCGAACCGACGCCAATCCGCAGATCAGTCTCGCTTAGAAAGCCCGCGCTCGAGTCAACAATGTAACGCTCAGCTGAGTTATGCGCAACCGTCAGGCACTAACAGCATGTGAGGGTTTGCCCACACGGGCATTCAGAACTGGACCAGTCAGAATACGGAAATAAGAAACGAAATACTTCGCTGCGGACAGCAAGATTAATAGTTGATGTACACAGGGTCAAGGTCACTGTAAAGTTGTTCTCTGCTATCCTGCCTGTCTTCTATTCCACACCGAACTTATCATCATGCTACTGGGGGGTATACAAGTTAGCGTTAGGATAAGGGCACGGAGATATTGGCCCTCCACTGGATTTTCCACACGCTTATGCTTAGTACGTGTGTGGGGCGTTTCAATTCTCGTGTTCTGATTTGGCGGCCATAATAGATTTTGCTGGAGTTAAAATCACCTCTGGTTGGTCCGTTGGGGATGAAAACACCGGATGTGAAGTAAAAGACGACACTGGAAAGAGATACGTGGGTGTAGCGGATGCGGAGACAAAACATTGTTACATGTTAGTAGCTCAGCGTCATGGCAACAGAATTGGGCTTTTAACTTCATTGTCTTCAGTTCCGCCTCAGAAGAAGACTTCCTGAACTTCACTGAAACAAGTCAGCTGCCCATTCTTGTACAGTCTGCAAGGTATTGTCCACATTCTTCCCAGTCCTGAATTACTTGCCGTAAGTTAGCATCTTTGAAGTCTTTACATACCTGTTGTGTATTATGTGGATTGCACTGTTACCCTTTCTTAATATGTGTAACTGGTAAGATAGAGATGTAATCGCTGGGGCGAGAATTTTACTAGCCTGAAGTGTGGGCGAACAAAGTTCCGGTCCCAATGATTACATCTGGTTTTTCTCAGTTATTTCGTAGGACTCGCAATATCAGTAATTTAAGCGCAAACGCCTACTGTTTCCTGCCTCTTGTCTGAAATTATTTTAGTTTTTAGGTTATAAAACGTACTTATACACCTCATCGTCTGCATTACGTTATGCTAAGTGTACTTGCGCTAAGTCTATTCCAAAAAACTATCATTTCTGGGAGCCGATGAGCTCCGTTCGTTTGCTTTTCACTTTTTTAAAGTCACTTTCAGTGCTGCTATTGGACAAGCATGCCAAGAGAGGAAACAGCAAATGTTTTAGGCTTATTACTCACCTCTTAAACTAGCCGCTACTGGCAACCTCAGTAGCAGAATAATGAGCCTTTTATTCAGAGGTTTCTATGGGATCGGCGTGTGCTACAGTCTATCGTAAACAAACAACTTTACATTCGTAAAAACACTGAATAAATCCTACCGTTGTTTACGGTGTTGCTGAAACCTCGTGTCAAATGTGCCCGCTATTTATTTGGGCTCTTTAACACGATGATTTTGTGTCCAATCATAAGTGTTAGCCGGTTGTCAATCTATAGATTTGGTTATCCCAGTCCGTGTCGTGTCTTATTGTTCGACAGTAATAACTATTACATGAATGGAGTCAGTTTTGCCAAAACTATAATAAGTTTAGTGTATGTCCATAAATCCGGTTCGAAGGCCCAGATTTCGGTAATCAAAGTCCTTCAGTCATCTCCAGTCACATGAGTACCAAGTTTATTCTTACTTCAGTCAAAAATATATTCCTGTCCATGAACTTGTCCCCTCTTCTTCTTTCTCTTCGGGAAATGATGCACGCGATATGATGCCTTGACCTCGAATCTTCGCGCATATTTAACTTTATATGAGCATCGAAGGTCAATGAGAAACGATTATAATATACTAATAATTATTCATAGTGTTCTTCATTCTCGTCGAAAAGCCGGCATCCGGACTTGACTAAAATTCCATAGTACTATGTATTTACGTTAAGAAAATAATAAGACCTTTCGTCAGTAATGTTTTCTAATCGAAAACACGTTTTAGAATTAGGGATTTCCTTTCATGTGCTAGTGCGTGTACTGTGTATTTGACAATCTGATGACAAATTTTAACACCTCATATAATCAGTACGATCTTCTGATTAATGTATTTGATTTCGGGGGCTCAGAAGAGGCTGATAACTAAACCTGAAATAATGAGGTTTTGCCATTAATAAAAAAATATATTTGCATGTGTTTGTGAGATGACGTTATTGGCGACCTACCTGCGCAACATTACTTCTACTCTGCAAAGTTCGACTGAGCGGTGGGGAGAGGCCCTATTTTAGAGTGTAAGAAACTCCTTTTTAGCCTTAAACGTGCATGAGCTAACCTGCAACAGTTTTAATGAGCTTTACCCATAAGAAATTAGTATAAAGACAAAACAGAATACATTTAAAACCAAATAAATTAATATATGGTCCCCATGTGATGAGCGCAAGAACGTTCATAGTTCGCACTAAGCTCCTCCTTGTTAAAAAAACAGGCAATTGAATTTACTTTTATACTTGATCGTACAATAGCAAAGATTGTCTGCAAACGCAAAAAAATATTCTCATCAACATTTTGTGCCCAAAAATTTTCGTTTTATTTTCTTACAAACAGATTTCATGGGATAAAAATCAACAAAACTATTGTTCTACGTTCGACGTTTTGATGAAAATCCGTTTCCCATATATTTTAGGAACTCCCGAAAACGGACTGTTTATTTTTGCGTCGAATCATGGGCTCTGCAGCAGCCAACACTCGCACTAAACCGACTTATGAACCGGCCGTGAAGTTGGAGGGCCATCATGAAGAAGTTAACTGTATCGCGGTCTCAGCAGACGGTTCCCTTTTAGCATCTGGCTCGGAGGATTTTTCCGTTCGAATTTGGAATTTTGGTGAAGGAGCCAGCTATGAGTGCATTCGAGAACTCGTCGGACACACCGAGTACGTCGTTTGCGTAGCCTTTATGGGAAATTATCTCCTTTCTGGCTCGGGCGATATGACGCTTCGAAAGTGGAACGTTAGTACTGGAGCTTGTGAACTGGTATGTTACCTGTCTCCTAATTTTACTCGGAGGATTTTTCGGGGTTTTCACTCAACAGTAAATTACTTTATATTAGTAAGATAGGGATCAATGTGAAGCCAAAAAAGCAGTGCTGAAGCTAAAGTAAATGCTCTACAGTTTGCGAAGTTTCTATTTAATACAAATCATCGTGCCTATTTTCGGTATTAGTAATTAGCTTCCAATTCATCCTCTTTTACCTCTTAACGAGAAGAAGTTTAGAGTTAAAATTACTGGAGCTGATTTATTAAAAAACATTTTTCGGGCTTTGGGATATTAACGCAAATTAGTCAGGACATACGTTCGCAAGAATGATAGAGAAACGGTAAGGTTCGCAGAATTTAATTAAATTCGAATATTAACAGGATCTGTAGAAATATGAACTCCTGCACCTTCACACAATTTTTTTAAGATATGAAAACCTGAAAGGGAGAAGTCAGATTCGAAATGAACAAAAAAGCTCCTGATAGTGCCAATTCAACACGATATTATGCTGTAAACGTCTCCTGTTAAAACATCTTCAACGATGGATATTAATATCAGGCTTAGCAATGTTGGATACTAATTCTGACAAATTCGCTAAAGCCAAAATGAAATAATATGTTTCTCTTTTTTAAAAGCAACTTAACTGTTAGTAACCAATGTATTACTGGCAAACGTTAGGACTCTGAGATACGCGTATTTCTGGGTCATTATTACTGGCAAAAGTTAGGACTCTGAGATACGCGTATTTCTGGGTCATTACCCTTCATCTGTCAGAGTTACCTGACACAGAAATACGCATATCTCAGAGTCCTAACGTTTGCCAGTAATACATTGGTTACTTAAAGTTAGCGCGAGTAACATAATTGTTTCGTTGAGTAAAAAAGTGTTTGCTTAAAGTTGGCGAGTAACATAATTGTTTCGTTGAGTAAAAAAGTGGAAGCGTCCACAAGTTCGCCAGACGAAACAAGCCAGGGTTGGTGAATCCTGGGCGAGGTCGGAGTACACACATGTACTACTATTAATTGTTAGTTCTTCGGGCAGGATTAATTCTCAAGCCCGAAGTTTTACCCAAGTAAACATCCAACTTTTCAGTGCGCACCACCTGACAAAATAGGCCTGTAACATCATGTTTAGCGCATTTCGCCGCCTGCTGTCAAACATATGAGGTAAAGTCCAGGCACGTGAATATTTGCATTAGTGAGATGTCCGGTAAACGAGTTGAAAAATGAAAAAAAACAACCGTCTCATAAGTTTTCCTATAAGGGCTTAGGAGATTTTAAATCCTACATCTACTACTATTTTAGAAAAAATGTGTTTGATGTAATGGCTTTAAAAGGCACGATATTATGAGGATATTGCCTCCTGTAAATGCACTAAATGATTTTCAGTCATTTACCAGTAGACAATTTTCAAATAATTAGTATTTAATTTGGCGAATCACCTATTATTTTTGTTTAAGTGTTGGTAACATCTGCTCATTCTCCCGCTTCTTCTATTAATGTAGCATTCAAATCCGAAACCTTCCTTTTTTCAGATCCTTTTAATTACAGCTTGTTGTTTCGTCGGCTATTCTGTCTTGTCAAACAATATCCCAAAATCTCGATCACAATTACTAATAACGTTTGTTTATCGGTACTGAAAACTTATGAACTTGGTCTTCTTTAGCAGGATGACAAACAACGATCTTATCAACCCAAACAGATATATGTATATGCGCGGAGATTCGAGGTCCAGAAATCATATCGTGAGTAGCAGCTCCCAAAGAGAAGGAAGAAGGGGAAGCAATTTCATGGACCAAAGTATATGTTGAGTGACGTTTCAAAAGCTCCCTCGAATCTATCGTCAGAGTACCGTGCTTAATCTTCCGCGGGGCTTTGAATGAATCCGCCTTGCCGCGAGCCAGGTGTAATATAGGTACTACACCCGGCTTGCGGCAAGGCGGATTCATTCAGGGCCCACGGAAGAGTAAGCACGGTACTCTGATTATGGAGGTGAGTGAGCTTTAGAAACGTGTGTCAAAATATAATTTAGTCCATGAAATTGTCCCCCCTTCCTCCTCCT